TTTAACTGATGAGTTCTTCTATCATTGAAAGTCAGTTTCTAGAGGTTAGGATTTTATTCTTCGTGTAAAATTATGTTATCTCCTAGTTAACCTTATAATGTACTAAGAGTTACTGTAGTTATCGTTCTTTGTATCATTCATTCACTTTATGAACATGCCCTCAAAGAAGACTTCTCTGACCCCAGCCCTTTAGGCATATCCTCTCCTTGCAGTCTGTACTTCCTTAAAAGTCTTCCCACTTTTGTAATTAAATAGTAATTGCATGATTAATTGTTTAATGTCTGTCTTTCTTGCCCAATTATTTTCCCAATGAAAGCAGGATCCAGGTCTACTGTACTTATAGCTGTATCCAACGCTGGTTCTTGTCTATAGCAATAAATTCTTTTTAAACGAGTTGTTTCATTTACATATTTATTCATCCACTAATTAATTTAGCATTCACAGACCCTAGGAATTGTGCTACAATTAAGAAAACAAAAATTAATGTGATTATTTTTGCATTCAAAGAGTTCACAATTTAGTACTGAAAGTTCTTAACTCTTTTAGGTAAAAGTTCTCCTTGAAAATCCAGTGAAAAAAGTGGCTCCTTTACCCAGAAACTACTCATCTAAGATGGACACAAGATTTTTTATTTCATTTGCTAGGTTCCGAGATCCTTGGAAGTCCATTCACTTTCTTCCTAAAGTTCTCTGCATTTGGAAGACAAGATCTCTCCATGAAATAGACTTTCAGGAACACTCAAGGTCGGGGAGGGATGGAGGAGAGCATTGGTGTGTCCTATGGATCAGGAAAGGTGTCCATTGCAAGGGATGTTTCAGTTGCATCTTGAGCAAGGAGTCTGATGTCACCAGGAGAAGGGGCAGTGTTAGAGGTTGAGAAGATGATATTTAGGAAAGCATGGAAGTGTGGAAGAGCATGTCATGGCAGGGAATTGCAAGTGTCTTGTAGAGTGGAGAAGGTGGGACTGTGAAAAATCTGGGTGAGCATGGGGGTGGTGGTGAGGAAAGGCTGTGGAAGAGGATATGGAGAGGTAATAGACCAGGGATGACCTCGATTCAATCCGCGGTTATTGAGAAGCTCTTGTAAGGTCCTGGGAGATGAATGAGATCCAAGCTGTGCTTTAGAAGGAGCCCCGGTGGTGTGGTGTTGGGGTATGTCCTGGAAGGAGTGGGGCAGAAAGACTGGTCTTTCAGACCCCAGGATGAAGCAAGGTGACAACCGGGTTTAAGGAGAGAGGGTAGGCCAGCTTGATATCGACGGAGGAGAAGCAGCAGGAAGTTGTCACTGGTAGATGTGGGGTGTGTGAGAAAGGCAGGGAGAAACTCCAACGCCGTGCCCTAGACAGCTGAGTGTGTGAGGATGGCGCTCAGTTTAGGTCTCCATAGGCGCCTCTTAGGGACGAATGCCCATTCACAAAATAAAAGTTTTCTGGGGTCACATTTTTTTCGCTCAAAACTACAAAAGTTTTTGTAAATGATAAAAAGTACATTTCCTTACAACTTAGATTATCCTGCACATTGGACAGGAGAATGCCGGTACAAAGATCAAACTTGCTTTTTAATCGCAAAAGTTATCTTGGCAGCCACAGTGAAGCAGCTTTCTAATCTCTCTTCTTGAAGTAAGAGCCTGGGCTAGAGTGGAGCACAGGGTTGGTCGCACACAGTCTGGGTAAAGCAGATTATTCATCGCTGCCCAAAGAATTCTGGGAGATGGAATGCCCGCAGGGAATGTGATAGTTCAATTCCGGACCTGCCAAGTCGGAGGCATTCGGTACAGTGTACTGTGTGAACAGGAGTCTCAAAAAATATTAAACCATAGCTATAGATTTCTAATAAATATTAAATCATAATTGTGAATTATTATTAAATCATAATTATGAATATCTTATAAATGAATTGTCTTATATATTTGTAATCTGGCATTACAAATCTTAGATCAGGATAAAAATATCTCTGAAATGTACAACCCTTTTACAATTAGTTCAAATTTCACACAACAAGGCAGTAAGCTTCAAATTAAAAAAACAAACAGTTCCATTGAGGTATAATTTACATAACATGCTATTCACATAAAGTATACAATGCTTTCAATTAATTTTTATTTGCTTTAAAAAGTTTACTTTTTCTAAGTTTTTGGCAAGTACATGATATTCCTTTTGTAGTCAGAAAAATATACAAAGAATATATATTTAAATATTTATTTAGCAGTCCTTATTCATAAAGAATGTTCTCCCTTGATAATTACAGCCAAGAGAAAACATATTTCGTGTGAGTTTAAATTAAACAAATGTAAAAATATGTCAGATATTCCTACAAATGTGACATGGTTAGTGAGAAGACAAGACTAAAAGTGGATCATCTTGCGGCTTTTTTCAATGTCCTGCCACATCAGGGAGACCCAGTTTAATTTACAGATGCTTGCTTCACTATCAGGGGATTGGGGAGAAATTTCCCCTGCCAATAACCTTCCCTGCTAAGGGCTGCTATGTTATGATGGGTGTATTCTCACCCAGGATGGTAGTGATATTGTATTAAGAGGGACCGAAGCCTTGGGGTTTAAACTGATGTATGTGAGTAAGGAAAAACTCAACCTATCCATTTACTGTATATACACAGTGAGAAAAGTTGGCAGGTTTGAGAATCCTGAAAGTCACTTCAGATCATGTGTTAATGATCTTTGTGACACATGGCACATATCTAAGGATCATCTTGGTTTATTAAAATAACAATATGTGGAAGAATGTAACTTTCTTCCTATAAAATGGACAGCACTGTGCCCAAAGTTTGAACCTCTCTGCTTTGCCCTATGATGCTGGATGCCAGGAATACAATTGGTATTTAGGCTGATGTGGGTGTTGGTAATTTGTCCAAAACAGTTTGTCTTTTCCAAGATTGGATATGGGTGTACCATGGAAGAGGGGCTTAGAAAAATTTGGTGTGACTTACCCTGATATCACGTCTAAACTTATGGCTCTTAAATGTAGTTTTTCTTAGTTCTGGAGTTAAAAGCCTACAGAGCATTCTGATTTAATGCTTGCATAGAGCGTTGAAGCCTGCTTTAATCCAGCATCATCTCAAATTTCTTGTAATCAGGTTTATTTCTTCATTGTTTCAGAGACAGAACATTCTGAATGTTTGCTTACATTGTTTAACTTCCTATTGTAGTTGCTGTTAATAAAGCATAGTAAATGCTATAAAATAGCCTTAAAATCTTTTTTCTCTCTGTCTCTCATGAAGAGCACTGTCTATTATGCTGCTCAGCATGCCCTAGGAGGAACCATGAGGAGAGCATTTTGTTCAGATGTCATTGCTACACAAGAAAGACATACATATTTCTTATGGAAATTATTACACAGAATTAATTTTATTTCCTTGGTTGCTTGGAACACTAGAAAACTCAGTCACATGGCCCCTTCTTTAATACTGACTAGATTCTTTCTGTTTGTTTGTTTTCGTAGTGTTGGGGATCCAATCCATGACCTCACACACGATTGGAAGATCTTTACCACTGAACTACATTTCCAGCCCTAAATAGATTCTTACAGCGTGCATGACTTTATTTTTATTAACTTTTGTTCTGGCCTTGGAGCAGTTGGGGTGATTCTTTTTGCCTTTTAAAAAAATTTGCTCATGTACTTTTGAAAGCCATTTCAAATTCCTTTTAGATCTAGGTGGAATAAAAAATAAAACAAAATATTCGACTTGCTTGTAGTCTTTTTGCACTTCCTTTGTTTCAAACATCATTCAATCTTCAAATCTAGATTTTCCATGACCTCCACCCCTCACACACACAATGGAGATTGAGCTCAGGGCTTCACACATGCTAGAAAGCACTCTGCTACTAAGCACACCATCAACCCTGCCCTTTTTATTTTGAGATAGGATCTCACTAAGTTGCTCACTAAATTGTCCAGTGGCTTTGAACTTGGATTCTTTCTGCCTTAGCCTCTCAGGTAACTGGGATTACAGGTGTGTGCCACATTACAGGTATGGCTCACTCTTTCACTCCTATTGAGCAAATTTTCCTCTGAGTTCTTCTGTTAATATACTTTTGCACTTTACTAAATATGAATTCACTCCCTAGTGAATGTACTGGTTTCATATGTACTAGCCCTGTTATTCCAAGTTGCACTGAATATTTTTTTAGAAGTAGGGACCATGGTTTATACTTTTTGTGAATCATCTAGTACAATAATATTGTATCGAGAAATGTTTCCTTTTACACTGTAATGAAAGCAAATGTTCACTCTTAAAAAAAAGCTTATTCACTCTCAGAGCACTCAGAACATCTAATCTAGAAGTGCGGGAAGCCATTTTTGTCTATAGCAACTTAAGTTTATTTTATTTATCTTGGAAGACTATTTAAATCATTCAAATATTTCTTGAGCTCTTTCTGTAGGATGGAATTCAGCCTCACAGCACCCTTGGAAATGAATGAAATGCCCGCAGGTGGAGTGGGGAGGGACACCTAGGTTTGGTGCAAGTCTGACATTTGGGGGCCACTTCTTCAACAGGCAAGACATCAGGTCTGAAGCTTAGCCAAAGAGAAAACCTGGGCGAAAGTAAGCACTGGAGCTCTGATACATCCAAATCCAATAGTGTACATTCTTTTTTTTTTTTTTTTTTTTTGGTACCGGGGATCGAACTCGGGTCCTTGAGATTGTAGGGCAGGCGGCGGAACCACTGAGCTAAATCCCCGGCCTCAATAGTGTACATTCTGAGTGCTAACTACGATGATCAAGTACGATTTGCCTGGGAAAGTCCAGTATCTTGACAACCCTGTCGCGTCTGGGCAAATAGGAAGATTGGTCATCTTCGTGTAATCCCCGAGTGAGGCCAAGTGGATCGCACCTGAGTAAAGACTACAAGTCCCAGCATGCAGCAAAACTCCCTGCCGCAGGGAGTTCGGGGCAGGGCTCGGCTCTCGCAGGGGTACCTCTTAGGGGCTGCCCATACGTGCTGACGTCGGCGCGCTGATGACGCAGCTCGTGTGTGGTAACATTGTGAGGGGAAGCCCTAGGCTTGCGGCCTTAGAGTGCCCAAGTGTGGCGGCTGGGGAAGGGGTCTGATTCGGTCTTTCTGTAGCGGTTTGACTTCCTGTTTGGAGCCGCGGTTGTTTAAAGCCCTAGGGTACTTGGGAAGGGACCGGCACTCGAAGCTGTGTTTACTCTTAACTTTGCGACTCTCAGGTCTAAGATGAACAAAGTCTGTGCTATTTTTGGGGGCTCCCGGGGTATTGGCAGGGCAGTAGCGCAGTTAATGGCCCAGAAAGGCTACCGACTGGCGATCGTCGCCAGAAACCTGGAAGTGGCCAAAGCCGCTGCCGGTGAGCTCCGCGGTAGGTACCGAAGGGAGTTGTCCGGCGGTGTGGCTGCAGCCCCGACTCCTGTGTAAAGGGAGCGAGTCTGACCTGCACGACCCGAGGCCTAGCACCCCATCGGGAGGGCAGAGTAGCTTGTGAGGTGAACTTCTCTACCCGCCAGCCCCGGTACCTCAGTCAGCCCCGCCAGCAGCCCAGGGCCGAGTACTTGAGATCTCTTGAGACCTCGCAGCCTCGTGAGCACTCCCTACCCGGTAACCATCCACCTCCCTTCGACTGGTGCTAACCCTGAGGTGCTGCTTTGTTTTGGCATCTGATAGGAGATAGCCACGCCGTAGTCAACTTTTTAAGAAGGGGAAAAGGCAAGCTCCTGGGCGCCCGGATACAGGACTGGGCACTGCGGAGTTTGGGCGGGCAAGGTAGGCGTTGCAGATAGGAAGGGCACGCTGCAGTTTTGCTGGGGGCTGTTCTGCCCGGTGTGAACTCAGTAGTTTGAAAGAGCTGGTACCCTTTTGGATACCAGCTAGTTTAGAGAGATATCTGGCTTGCTTATTACATCCATTAAGCACTTTAATAGCTCATTAATTGGTTTTGTTGAATTTTGTAAATTCAAATTTGATTAGCCACATCTTTTTTATTGCGTTCAAACTTCAGGTTTTTTTCTGCTTGTCGATAATGGATTTGTTTTGCAAATTTAAGGCTCTCTTGATGGTAAAAAGAAATAGGATGTTTGAAGGCTATTAAGATGGTGGTATTTGTTTAATTATTAGAATGGAGAAAAATACAAGTCACTCAATTATCGAGGAGACAGGAAAAATAGAGGCCTAAGGTTGTATCTTGTGGGGGTTACTTTTACAATTACGTTGCTAGTTGGGTTGGTATCAGTTTAGACTCACTGTTTCTGTAGTTTGGGAAAACACTGGGCTCTCTACAAGTACAGGCTTGAGAATTTCAGTGAGTGTTTCTTGCAGCCATATTTATTACCATTCTGACAGAGGAGGAAAAATACCCTCTTTCCTGGGTCATCCCAAGCCTGGGTTTGCTGGACCATATTAAAACCATTGGCTGAGAACAAGTCTTGAGGTGAAAGCTTAAGAGTGAGACAGGTGATGCTTCCGGGGCATTTCATTCTTTGAGCCTTATGTTCTCCGAGTGATAAGTTTTCATTAGCAAAGTGTGTTTTCCCAGCTGAGATACTGTTTCCAAAGCCTTAAGGGCATAATGTTAGTGTAAATATAATTGGCAAAGTCAGGCAGAAAATAATAGCTTCAGCTTTTTTTTTTGGTACTGGGGATCGAACTTGGGACCTTGAGCTTTCGAGGCAGGCGCCGGAACCACTGAGCTAAATCCCCTGCCCAAAACTAAGAGACTATTCGTTTTTTTTTTTGGTACCGGGACAGAACTCAGGTCCTTGCGTTTCAAGGTCAGGCAGCAGAACCACTGAGCTAAATCCCCGGCCCTGTTTCAGCTTTTTAAAAACATTCTACATTTTACAATAGATGTACCTGACTTAACAATAATTCGACTTTATGATGGTGTGAGAGAAATATGCATTCAGTAGAAACCATACATCGAATTTGAATTTGGATCTTTCCCCAAGCTTGTGATCTGCGGTGTGATAGTCTCCATGCTGGCAGTGGGCCCTAGCTTCCAGCCAGCCACGCGGTCAGGAGCGTAGGCCACTGACACTGTGCAGTGTACTGTTTAGCTAAGCTTATCTGGTAGGTAAGGTGTATTAAGTGCATTTTTAGCCTCAGATATTTTCACCTTTTGATGGATTTATCTGGATATAACTATCATAAGTTGAGCATATGTATTAAAGTGTTGTGAAAATAGGAAGTAATTATTTCTTTTAAATATAATGTTGTATTTAGACATTTTAGAAAAACACATTTTTGAGAGATAACAGTTGCTTTTAATAAACCAGTCAATGGTTTGTAATAGTTTAACTTTTAAAAAAATAGCTCCTCTTGTCTCATCTCTCCTAATGTTCAGGCTTGAATAATGGTCATTACAGTATTTCTGCAGTTGTATATATGTATAAAAAAGAATAAGAAAAAAAGAAGAAACTCTTGAGTTCATCCTCAGGGCCAAAGAAACCAACACAACCTAGAAGAATGAGACATAAATTTCAAAAAAGAAATATAAAACCTAGAAGACAATTGAATTGGGTAGCATGGGTTCAGTGTTAAAGCTATAAATATTAATCTTTTTTTTTGTGTGTGTGTGTGTGTATATATATATATATATATATTTTTTTTTTTTTTTGGTACCGGGGATCGAACTCTGGATCTTGCACTTGCGAGGCCGGTGCCGGAACCACTGAGCTAAATCCCCGGCCCCTATAAATATTAATCTTACAAAGCATTATCCACTTGAATTACAGGCTTATGCCACTGTACATGGCCAAAGTTTTTATTTTTCATTTTTAAATTTTAAAGAGTTGAGGACTTATGTTACCCAGGGTAGCCTTTAACCCCTGGGCTCAAGTGATCCTCCTGCCTCTTGCTCCTGAGTAACTGGGCCTACGGGCATTCATCACTGCAACCAGCAAAAGCCCCAAAAGTCTAAAAATTAACTTTCTCTAATACTCCTTTACTTCTTGTTCCCCACTTCCCCCAGCCAAGTTTCATTAGACAAGTCCACAAGAACAGGAACCCATGGGACCCTTACCTGTAGTTTGTAGGTTTAGCACAAGCTTACATACCACATAGTAGATGCTTAACAAATGTGTATGGAGAAAATTCAAAATTCAAGTTATAATTTTTACCTAATTCTGATTTAACTTTGTTTTGTAGGAAATCATTTGGCTTTTAGCTGTGATGTTGCTAAAGAACATGATGTTCAAAATACATTTGAAGAGATTGAGAAACATTTAGGTCAAGTAAATTTCTTGGTAAATGCAGCTGGTATTAACAGGTTGGTCACAGATTTAAGTAAATTTCTAATGTCTTTTAAAAAAAATCCTTTTTCCTTAATAGGTCTTTGCTTAGTATAATATGTTGTTTTATTTCTAGTTGGAAGGAAAAGTGTGCATTTTAAAACTTCGTAGAACTGCATGTGGTGGTCCAAGTCTGAAATTCCAGCTACTTGGGAGGTTGAAGCAGGAGGATTGAAAGTTTGAGGCCACTCTGAGTGACTTAGAACCTGTCTCAAAATTTGAAGAAGACTGAGGATGTAGCTCAGTGGTAGAGCACTTGCCTAGCATATGCCAGGTCTTGGGTTCAATCCCTGGTACTATAAACGAGCAAATAAACAAAAGCTTTATCAATTCATGTATTCTTTTCTATTGAAATGTGTCCAGTTTGATCATTTTTAACATTGTAATCATCACCAGTATTGAGCTATAGAACATTTCCAGCACTCCTGAAGATGAGCTTAAGTTTGTTTTCAGTCAATACTTTCTTCTAGATAACAATTGTTTTGAGTTCTGTACCATATATGTTTTGCCAGTATATGAACTTGATACTAATGGAATCGTGGGGTAGGTATTCTTTTTTTTTTTTTTTTTTAAGATGAATTTAGAAGAAAATATTTAGAATAACATACTAATTGTCTTACTAAACAATACTTAGTAGGCAGTTACTCAAACCATTCAAAATATTTTGGATTCATAGGTACTAGTTTTCACAGGAATATTTGCTACTGCAGCTGACAGGCAGTAGGAACTGCCTATGAAGTGGATCTTCTCTGGCTAATCAGTTGTTATTTTAGTGGTTTTCAATCCAAGTTCAAAATGGAACTCTCCAGGTATTCTAGCTCAGATATATAAAGCACTTGTTATACTTTGCTTTCATTCAAAATGTTACATAAATCTTGTATGTCTTGACCTAATTTTTTTGGCTTGTTTTATCTCATTATTAATTTAAATGCTATTTCTTTTTGTAGGGATAGTCTTTTAATAAGAACAAAAACTGAAGATATGGTATCTCAGCTTCATACTAACCTCTTGGGTTCTATGTTGACATGTAAAGCTGCCATGAGGACTATGATTCAACAACAGGGAGGGTCTATTGTTAATGTTGGTAAGTTTTCACTATTGTGGGTTTATAATTATTCCACTCTACTATTATTTAATCCACTAATTTGTAACTTGTGAAACTTAGGTAAAATTTATCTTTGTGTCATCTGTGGAAATTAATTACCTGATCAGTGAGTAAAAGAGGAATCACTAATTCAAATCCCTGTAGGGGTCAGGCAAGTGTTAAATGAGTGCCACTACCAAGTCTTAGAAAAATGACAGAAGCCCTGTGATAAATGACAAAGAACATCTAGGTTCTGTGACCAGAGGCCATAGGGAATGGTGGAGACCATCACTGTTCAGATCCAGTAGATAATTGTTACACTTGAATGTGGTCCATTTTTGTTAGTTTTGATTTTTCAGCAGAAATTAGACATCTTAATTTTTAAAATATGGACAAAGGATTAAACTGTAGGGACTAGGTGCTAAATAATCATAGTAGTTGCATAGGTCACTGATAAATCTAGTGCGGAAGATTAAAGGAAGTTAAAATTTTTCAGTTTTTTTAGAATAGATATAAGTAACCTCTAGTCTTCAGTTCATCTGAACCACAGAGAAGATAAACTATGAAGTATTTGCCTGTTGAACTTAAAGTGCAAAATGACTTGAAATTTTATTTCAGTTTTGTAATTTGAAAATAGTAGCATACCATCTGCTTTTTACTTTTTTTTTATTGGTACATTTTAGGTATACAATACGTTTACATTTATCATTGGGTGCTTGTATGCTTTTTACTTTTAAGTGGTAATACCGTAAAAGGCCACAAAAGGGGGGACGCTGGTCTGTTAAGTAAATCGTGCTCTGTAAGGGCTGTTTTCTTCTCCAAGGAATTAGTGAGTGAGTAGACCTTTGTCTTCTGACACAGTTCAGTGATGACTTTGGGTTCTTACAAGCACACAGACCTGCATGTGATAATGTGGAGTACATTTGTTTAAAATACCCCTTGTAGGTATATTTCAAAAGCAGAAGTCCTCCAGATGTATACAAAACTTTTTTTTTATTACAAAAAGTAATACTTTTAGAATGAATTAAGAGAATCTTACTGCAGAAGGAGCTACTATATTTCTGAAGTTGCACTTTTTGACCAGATGGATGATAGTGTGTGGCAGCAACCAAACCTGTTAAAGTTTCCTCTTTGGCCTTTCTTCCATGCCTATTTTTCTGTCTGTCTCACTCTCTGTCTCTGTCTGTCTGTCTCCCTCCCTCTCTCCCTCCGTCCCTTCTTCCTCCCTCTTTTATTTATTTTTTCTTCTCTTTGTATTTCTTTTTTTCCCATATATCACTTTCTCTGTCCATCTGTATTTTCTTGGTCTGATGTCTTTGTGTGCTTTACGGTTCTCTTCCTTTGTCATTAACTGGCATACAATATAAAGTTATGTGCCACATAATGTTTCAGTCAATGAGGGACCACATGTATGATTATAAATTATAAAGGAGGTAAAAATTTCTCTTCCTAGTAGGTTTACTGTATCTTTTCTATCTTTAGATACACAAATACTTACTGCTTTACAATTGCCTAAGTGTTCAATACAGTAATATGCTGATCAGGTTTATAGTCTTAGAGCAATAGGCTCTATATTTTACCAACTGTAAAATCACCAAATAATGTATGTGTCAGTATATATCCCTGTCAGTAATGATACATAACTGTATAATGTAGGTAACTTTTAATATTGAAGTTGTTGATTATAATAGGAAAACTGAAGTGTTTTCTTTTTTGAAAGTAAAATTAAAAATTTCATGAGGTTCTTGTTTGGTTTTTGTATCATAAGTACAAGTCAGTGGTGCAGGAAATTACTTTTCCACTTCTGTTTGCTAGCATTTATTTGAATACAGTTGATATTTGAATTAGAAAATATTCCTTCATAGTCATTAAATGAGGTCACTTAAGAATCTTTAGTAGGCAGTAGAAGTTACATAACTAAAAGTAACAAAATTACGCTTTTACAAAGTTTATTGTTAAAGTTCCAGCAATTTAGATTAACAGTAGTTGAAATTTAGTAAGATTTGTCTTCAAATGAGTTATTCTTTTTGGTCAAAGTATTTCCTTTTGTATTTGGCTATAGAATCATAATCTTAATCAGCCTTTATCCAATTTTTTCTGACTTTAACTTCTTCCTGCTAAATTCCTTTATATGCTACTGAGTTTTCATTATATCTGACTTACTCAGAACTTGGATTGGATCCCTTTCACTTAAGAGATCAATTTGAAAGCCTCCTGCCTGGTGCTCATAGTTTTACATCAGCTTCTTTCCTATCCTGTTTTCTATGTCTGCCATAAATGTGCACTTTTAAGTCTTACTACTCAAGTTATAATTGCTCAAGTTATAATTGCTTATAATTGGTTATAATTGCTAATTTTAGCATAGGATAAGGTGAAATGGGCTGTACATTTTTTGTTAACTATGAATTATTGGAATTTTGAAGTAACCATTACTTGGTTTGAATTTACTTACTTTCTTTTTTTCCTTCTAGGCAGTATCACTGGTTTAAAAGGCAATTCTGGCCAGTCTGCATACAGTGCCAGTAAAGGAGGATTAGTTGGATTTTCTCGTGCACTTGCTAAAGAAGTAGCAAAAAAGAAAATTAGAGTGAATGTAGTTGCACCAGGTCAGTTAAAATTTTTTATTAAAATAACTTGATTATGATTTTTGTTTTATAAAGAAACTGTTAATTTGCCCATTAGTTGGTATCTAATTGACATCTGGGTGAAATGGTATAAAAGAATTGAGTAATGAACTGGTGACTAGAAAAAAATTCCTTGTACACCATTAAAAAAAGGGCAAATCTTTATTTTTAAATTTTCCACTAATTATGGTAACTTAAACTAAAGAGAATCTTAGCATTCATTCCAGTTATTTTTATAGTTTAGAAAACTGAGACCTAGGATTTGGAGTGATTTACTCAAGGTTACACAGCCAGGTTATGGACAGCTTCCAAATAGTGCCCTCTGAAATTTCCTTTGTAGTCATAACCACATTTAGGTCTTTTCATACCTTTTGCTACTGTGGTCTATCTAAACTATCTGGAGCTTTTCAGTTTTCTAACTTTTACTACAGTGTTTTGCCAAGTTACTAGTTGATAAAATTATTCCGACTGTTGAAGAGAGTGATAAAAAGGTGCTAACACTCAAATCTACATTATCACTCATTAGCTAGAAATCTGCTAGGTTACGTAACTTTTGAATGAAATGAATGTTTTTGTGTATCTCTGCCAGTTTGCTATGCAGTCTCTATCTTTAAGAATTAACCACCTACGGTATGTAAAGAAAAGACAGTTGATTTTGACTCCTTGGTTGTTTACAAGAAAGACTGGTCTGCAGTAGACCTTTGCTGATTTTCCCTTTCAGGTCATTGATGGTTCTACCTTGGACTCTTGGTGTTTTATTTGGCACTGATTTTTTTTTTTTTTCATACCTTGCTCTTGCGAGGCAGGCACTGTCCCACTGAGCTAAATCCCTGGCCCTGTTTGGCACCGATGTTAAGCCAGCAGGTATCAGGGTTTTTTTTTTGAAATTTAAAAAATTAATTTTATTGCTACATTTCAGGTATTGCTACATTTTAGGTAGAATATAGTGACATTCATCATTGGAAATTTGCACCTTTAGATAATCTCTCTTGATTCTTATTTTTTCCCCATTCCCCTGCCATCCCTTCATCCCCTTCATTCCTCCCTATTTACGAAGACTTTGTTTCCATTTTTTTACTTTCTCATATTAATTCCATTCCCTTCTTTCCTTCCTCCTACCCCTCCCACTTCCCCTTCCCCTTTCCCCCTTTTCTTCCTATTTCACATTATCCATTATACCTTTGAGTCCTTATTTACACTTTCATTTTCTCACACTAGAGAAACTATTTGGTATTCACACGTGTGTGTCCTGTTTATTTCACTTAAGAGTATCACCTCAATGTGCACCCATTTAGCTATAAATGTCTCTAATTTCTTGTTCTTTATGGCTGAGTAGTACTCCATTTTATAAAAAACCCACATTTTCTTTATCCAGTCTCCAGTTGATGGGCATTTGGGCTGTTTCCAAGTTTTAGCTATTACAAACTGTGTTGGTATGAACATGGGTGCCCATATATCACTGTGGTATGATTCTTTTAATTCTTTGGGGAAGATACCCAGCAGGAGAATAGCTGGGTCAAATTGAACTTCCAGTCCTAGTTCTTTGAGGTATGTCCATACCGATTTCCACAATGCTTGCACCAGTCTACACTCCCACCAGCAGTGGAGCAGGGTTCCTCTTTCCCCACAGCCCCACCAGCATTTGTTATTGGTTGA